ATAACCTGCAGAACGCGAGAAGCAAAAAGCGCAGGAAACTGACAGACAAAAAGGCAGAAAGAGCAACAAGTAACGAGCAGACGATACCCCCAGGTGAGAACGTCCGAAGCTGGGCCACCGGTTTCGTTGCTGCTGCCCCGCGGTTCACGTGGCTGAGCTTTTTGTCCTTAGGTTTTGCACAAGCTTTCAAGGATCTATGAAGGTTGAACACCTTTTTGCGGCTGATGGGGACCCGACTGCCAGGTTAAAGGAAACTACAGGTAGGGAGTTTAGGGTATATAGGGCTTCTGTAAGGCTTCCATAAGGTATACAGACCTTCTATAAGGCTCCTATAACGGTAACTACCCACCTGAAACATGTCCTAGACCAGGATATATAGATAAAGTCAGGGTTTCCCTAAACCCTAAACCCGAAGCCCTAAACCCTTTACCCCAAACCCTACACCCTAAACCCTACACCCTAAACCCTAATCCCTAAACCCCAAGAACCTCTCGGACCTCGACACAGGCCCTTGTTCAAGAGGTCCATCTCTTGGATCATAGCGGGCGCATGTGGGTTCGGGTTTACGAAACCCCAAGCCCCAGAACCCAAAAAAAAGAGTCCCCCAAAAAAAGAGCCACAAGAAACCTGATATAAATGAAGCCTGAAGAATTGCCAAGATTCTTCCCTAGGGTTCCTCACTATAAGTATACCCCAACACCCTCTTTCGAGTGTTGAGGCCCCTAACCCCACGAGCTGAAAGCCCAAAACCCGAAACGCTAAACCGTGGCTTCTGCAGCACGGGGAGCGAAATCCGTTTGCAAGTTCGCCAGCTGGGCAGTGATCTGCGACTCGAAGTCTTGCAAGCGGGTGGCCACCTTTCGTCTGGTGTGGAGCTTGGGGTGGCCGGGGAGAGAACCCCTAAACCCCAAACGCTTTATAAACTCCCTAAACTCCCTACACCTAAACCGTGTATTTGAGTTCAGCTTGTACCGCGTCAGGTGTTCGGTCGATTGCTTGGGGCTCAGAGAAAAAAGCCTCTGCCATGGTACAGGTTCAGCAACAGCTCAGGAGCCCTAAGACTTTTTCAATGCAGCATCTAAGCCCTACATGAGAAGGGTTGTCGGTTTAGGGTTTAGGGTTTAGGGTTTAGGGTTTCGGGGTTTAGGGTTTAGGGGTTAGGGGTTTAGGGCTTAGGGTTTGGGACTACGAGGCTAGAGGGCATTGCACTACGTTCGCACACTACGTTCGCTGCACCTGAAGCCCGGAACCCCGAACACTAAATCTGAAACATTAGACCAAGGGATTGCATGGTTTAGGGTTTAGGGTTTAGGGGTTTAGGGTTTAGGGGTTTAGGGTTTAGGGTTTAGGATTTAGGGTTTAGGGTATAGGGCTCTTTGCCCGGCCTTTTTCATGATTTGGGCATCACCGCCGGTCTTCCGTGAGGGCAGGACGCCGTCTTCGCCACCTCCACAGCAGTGCCGCAGTCTCTAGTACTTAGGCTTCGTTTGGGTTAAGGATCTACATCTCCGGACCAAGAATAAACCAACGTCAAGGGTAAAGGATTTGGGGCTTGGGATTTACGGCCTATGGCTAAGCCCTAAACCCTAAACCCTAAACTAAACCCTAAGGCTAAGACTTTAGGGCTTTGCATCTGGGCTTTTTCTACAGATTTGCTTGTCACATGGTAGGTTAAGGAAGGGCCTTCGGGGTGTGTAAGGTTTAGGGTTGAGGGTTTAGGGTTTAGGGTTTAGGGTGTCTTCAAGGATTTGAACTTCGGGGCCAGAGCAAACCCTAAGCGCTAAGCCCTAAACCCCAAACTCTAGACCTTTAGGGTTTAGGTTTAGGGCTTGGGGTTTGCAAGTTTAGGGTTTAGGGTTTGGGGTTTGCCTTAAACCCCCAAACTCTAAACCTTTGCTTATGGAATCCTTAAGGGAGGGGGTTCTAAGGGGGTATATAACCCAGGGACCCTCCCCCCTTGAGCCACCCTCCCTTAAGGATCCTATAATTTGCGGCATCAAAGCCTCTCGGTGTGCCTAAGGCCTCGGGGCTGTCGAAAGTCACTGTAGCGTCTGGGGATTATACGGCTACACTTCGGGATAGGCCCAACCCCACTAAGAGGGTTTAGGGTTTATGGTTTATGGTTTAGAGTTTAGGGTTAAGGGGTTAGGGTTAGGGGGCATGATAGGCATATAGAGGAACCCTCGTACAACTAACATGGGTCGTTGTGCTCATTCTTAGTGGTTGCGAGGGGTGGGCTTGCCCAAGTAACATTCTCAAACGCCAAAGCCTCCGTGCTACCCCACCTGAAACTCCCGTAATTAAACAAAAACAAAAACAATACCAACGCAAAACCAACAACACAGTTCCAAAAGTGTGTGTGTGTGTGTGTGCGCATGCGTGCGTGTGTGTACTTGTATGTGTGTATGCATGTATCGAGTTACTTACTTGCTTGCAAATTCGTTTATTTACTCTGTCTTTCCTTGGCTATCTCTGGCATGTGCCTAGTTATCCAGGTATACTTACCTATTGACTTATATCCTTATCTTGTAGTTGTTTGTTAATATTAATATCACGACAGTTTGTCGTACAAAAAGCCCAGAGCCCTAAACCCTAAA